GAGCAGTAAAGCGCAGTGCATGATGTTCCACATATTTCATATTTGCTTCGCGATTGAAGATAAATATAGTTAGAAATTTAGGATCAAAAGACAAAGAAGAGCACAAACTTGGCACTTCAAAACAAAATAAACTCAAAAAAAATTGTTGTCTCAGCCCATATATGAACGAGTGTCAGGCATTTACTGTTGCAGGAACGTTCAATCGAGTAGTTTGCTTAAAAGAATATTGAAGCCTAAAAAGAGCATGTGGCTAGAGGTACAAATATACTCCTGGGTTGCTATATGAGCAATAGTACTAAAAGGTTATAAGTGCTTTAAGAAGATGTATGGATATTTCCGTAAGAAAACGATTATTTCAGACAAAACCTTGTCTTCATGACAACCGAGCAACGAAGAGCACGTAGTGGCAGAATCACTTAAGTTCAATTGGTTTCAGTAAGAGCAACAGTTGCTCCAGGTTTAGAATGTCTTGCTTTCAAATTTACGATTTATTATTACCATAACTGTAAAGGTTTAAGGACGAAAGGATACGAAGAAATAAGCGAAGTAGATTGTTCGTTTTCTTTTTTTTTATTGGGTATTAGTCCTAGATCGGTAACTATTCGGAAGTTTAACGAATTTTTGAACCTGTGAATTTGTCGGATTTTAGTATAGCGGACATGATATGTCTCATGAACCCGTTTGGCGATGTTGCTTTAGCGAAGTAATACGATGCGTTTACTGCTAGATCCATCCATTTTTTGGGATATAGGGCGATAGAGAGGGCACTGATTTCCTATGAGTGCTTTAGATTTAGAGGTGATATAGGCCTTGTATCTAAGTCTTCACAAAATTTCTTCTTATCTATTTAAAAAAAAAACATAAGCAATTCAGACCCCTCTACTCTATAAATCCACATAAAGGAGCACAAACATGCTTCCATTTCTGTTGCCTACTGCCCTTGTTCGATTATTAACAACAAGATACTGAATATTTGCCTTTAAAACCACATCGTTTTCTCTTCAGCGCATGGCTTTTAGTCTTTGAAAACAAGGACCATATAGCCAAATGAACAAACTTCGTATGTCCAAGCTACCTTTCATAAGCCACATATACATTTCAAAATATTGTGCAAACAGAAAATTAGGCGTAAAGAATCGCTGTGTGCAGTCACGTTACATTGCACATTTTTACGTCTATTTTTCTTACGTGGGGTGTGCGAACATTGGACGAAGAAGTAACGCAACTGTCAACGAGCTGGCATGCACAATCAGTGGAAGCTGTAGGGATTGTCTGTTTCAAGCTCTTGAATCCTCAAAACATATAGAACAATAGGAAGAGACAGTAGGAAGAGAAGTAATCGGTCAGCTACCGCCACCGAATACGAGTAATTGAAAAGTATGTTCTTGTATGGAGGAGTCTTACACTCCTTCTTCTTGTTATCTTTG